AATCCCAAGGGAAAATAGTAAGAATAGTAAATAAAAGTATATTCTTAACAGAGATAAAAATGAAAGTTGCATTGCGAATATTTTCGCGCGAACAATATCTGACGCAGACGTGGAGATGCCTGTAATTGGTCGATGATCAAACACGTGTTATCAAAGCGAAACGATGGAATTCCCCTGCTGGGAACGTTCAATTTTTCAAGTCCTTTCTCCGTCGTTGAACGTAAAAACCTTGCAATTATCGCGCGTTTCGCATAAATTTACGAAACCGGAGAACGAGTCGCGTGTTGTTTGGGCGTGCCGCGTCACGAAACCGTCAGCTTTTATTGCCGATACGAAACAGCAGGGGGTCAACGACCATGGACGAAAATCACCTCGTGCATTAATTGAACCACGAAATGGTAGAAGAAGTGGAGAAAACGATTACGAATCGATCGTACGATTTCGACGAGTTGCTCCTTTCGATATTGCGCGAGAAGAACGAACGATCGATAAACAAACACGGGGGAAGGGAGGGGGCCAATATGGTCGGTGTAGCGTGTTTGCGGATAAAACGCACGAGAAAATACTCTAACGACGTTAAGTTATCCTTCTCGGGATACGTATGGGGGTTGTAAGAGCCGGCGTAAGGGCTGCCGTGAAACCGTGGAAACAGAGGGTCGGCCGATCGATAACGCCCCCATAGCAGATATCGTCCAGAGGGTTGGCTGCACGAAGAGCGCAAGGTGTCCCATGTGCGGCGCGCTACCCTCTTTTGCGAACTTTCCTGCTGGAAAATAAAATGATTCGGGGCGAAGAGTACGCCTCGCGAACCAATGATCGGTAACGACGTTAGAGGAAATCGCTAACGAGCCGCGTGGTGTCCGAGGGCTCGAAACCGATTTAATTCCACTCCAGATACGTCATTAAAACGTTAACGCGCTTAACGATCAATTCCACGTAAAGGCGGGATTAACGACCCGTGCCCGTGATATGTACGAGCACTGCTGACACGATTGCATTTATAATAAAATTTGCCACTTTAGTGCAGAATGATCCTCTCTGGTGGTTGATTTTTCAGAGATGCGCGTAGTTAAAATGTAAAATCAGATCTTAAATTTTGGACGCGAAAGTGTTTCTTGCTGTGCTTACAAAATATATACAATTTTTGTTTTATTAGTCATTTATATTATTAAATTATATTCTTTTGCTTTTACTTGTATTTTTTCCCCATCCACCAGAGAATTTATGTTATAACATGTCCATCTCTTTTTCTCTACTTCTGCTTTAGTACAAATATTCCCTGTATTACTGAAAATGCCAAAAATATGTTATAATATCTTTAGAATATTCGATGAAAGGTTAATGCTCGAGAAGAGTGCTCTCTTTCTCTATTGATTCTCGACGCGTTCAACGATCGATTTGATGGAAAAACGATCGCACCTCGCGCAAGGTGGGCGATTGATTTTCCCCGCGAGAGAGGCGACGTCGCGAGAAGACGAGAAAAGGACGAAAAGCAGCGCGAAGAAAGCAAAAGCGAGAGAACGGAGGGAAAATTCCTGGTGGCGAAGTCGTGCACGGACTGAGAACTCACGGTGCTGGCTTCGCCCTTGAACCATCGGTGAAGAGATCACGTCAAAAGCGAAAAGAGTAAAGCGCGGAAGAGCCATGGTGGAAGAAGGTAAGAAAGAAGGGACAAGAAAAGACGTGCATTTTGCTCCGTTGCTTTTGTAATAGGCCGACACACCACTTCCGGCGACGCGAGGACGCGAATGCGAATACGACTCGCATACCCGATCGAACTCGAGGTGGACTCGACCGAACGATCCTCGGCCACAGTCCATGAAACACGAACGAAACATCGACAGTCGCGAAACGAACGAACATTTTTGAAGAAATTTATTGCCCGATCGGTTAGTCCAAAGTGCTATCTTGAGAAGTCTCGTAGAATTTAGATAGGCGTCTAATGACACGATCGACGCGACGTAAGATCCGGTGTCGAGAGAATCTTTGCTTCGAAACTAGCGAGACGAGTTCGCCAAGTACATTGCGATTTTGAATATTAAAACGTACACACCTTGGTATTATGTTTTTATACATAATTCATATGTTTTATATATAATTCAAGAAATATTATACTAAAGGGATTATACTACGGTGTGGATGATTTCTGGTTCGCAGTCAGAGGTTTTTCACTGGACAAAGCATGTTCCTGTTTCTCTTTCGACGACTTTTCATTTGATTTTCTACGTGTAATTCCAACTTGACCAATACAATCTCAACGACTAATTAGACTCGTGTCGAATGAAATTGCAAAATATTTCGTACAACACGTACGATACATTCATAAAAAGGTTCACGAACAATTATACATTAAATACAATAGGTACCTGTGCGTTAAAAATTACCCGGACTGAAAATGCAGACGCCTGTATGTATCTATCCACGTAATATATACGTGAAATAGAGATCTTTAGTGGTCAATGATTCGACGTTGCATGAATTAAACTCAGACGCGAAAAAAAAAAGATTCGAGAAAGGGAGAAGGTAAAATAAAGACGGTAGTATCGCGCAGCCGGTTTCCATACTTCTGCCGTCTGACCGTGACAGGCAACGC